AGAGGACGCGTTGAGCAGGAGCTGATGTGTTGACCTGGAGTGTCTGCAGATGTATGACAAACATGAAAACATGTCAAAATGAAAAAGTGACTCACCCCCGTGGTTCCAGATGCTCCAACACCAGCAGCTCAGTCAACACTGATGAGGAACACGAGCCCACCGTGCACAACGCGGACGAGCTGCCTGCGCCCTCCTCCGTCTCCCGCAGTGAACCCACTCTCACCCTGGATGTCACACCGACAGACTGACTGACAGACTGACTGACAGAGCTGATCCGGCGGCGGCGCCACTGTCAACCTTCACCCGCAGATGGCAGTGAGAGCGCGGGTCACCTGCGAGCCCTCACTGCTCACCACCGGAGTTTAACCCAGGGACCATCAATAAATTACCGTCTGACTGCAAGAGACAATATGTCATGTGACCAAATCATTGTCTCACACTGGGCCAATACCACCACCTCTTTTTGTTTATTCATTTTTTGCTTTATCTGTTTCAACATCTTCCATGTTATGTGAACAAATACATATTGAATCCTATTCTTAAAAACGACAGATAGGACCTCTTATTGTTTGATTTCTTTCTTTATTCTTTTTTGTTATCTATATTTTTTCCAATTTTCTTTTTCATGGGACTTTTTTAGTACAGGAGATCCAAACAAACAGCCCCACCCCGTCCCTGCTTTATATGATCATTTGTATGCATTTTCTTTTGATTTATTTATATTTTGTTCATATAGCACCAAGTCACGACATGGAGTGTTTTCTGCAACAGCATTGGTGCAGAAAACACTCCATCTAACAGGAAGACACGTCCTACTGAGCCAGACTCAAGGTGGGCAGAGATGAGATGGACAAGGAAAAGTGATGTAACTGTGGTAATACACCAAATATAAACTCGTATTCATACTAACAGGAAGTACAATCATTTAATAAAAACAAGTTAATCAAAAGTAATCACGCTGAAGCTCATTCATGAACATGAGTCACATGCTGACCACTGTGAATGAGTGACTCCCACCCTACACTACCAGTAGCAAATGGAAAGGGGTGTTCTTCTCAAATGTGTCCCTTTGTTTTGGGAATTGCTGTAGAGCTACTGTCCTACCATTTCTACTGCAATATTTAAGATGCAAATGTGCAGCATGTGTTTTATCAAGCTCAAACAGCTGGTTTCTAATCATCCCGGAGCAAGTGATTTCTCATGCAATAATATCAGCCCCCTCCGCAAAATCTACAGGCAATTACAAGGGGGGAGTTGCCAAATTAAAAGGACAAACAAATTACTAATTTAAATAACAAAATGCATACTACGGAGAATATGAATAACAAAATAAACCCAACACAAATAATCAATCATCACATTATCAAACTGCACGAAATAACAAGTTAGCGGTCAGTTACAATGCCAAATGTAATGAGAACTGGGATCAGAAAATGTACAAGTTTTGCATCCTAGTTTATCTGGGAGCCATTTATTGAAAGAATAACCTGCAGAGTCAGATGTCTCAAAAGCATCTCTGTTCACTTCAAGTGCATCGATGACAGACGTGATGTTGACAGTTATCTAGGATGAGAGTTATGCACACTTCTCCTGTAAAATTATATAGCACATAGTCCTCCAGTCGTAGCTAGGAGGAAATCTAGTGCCATTTCATGTTTTAACAGAGTCAGCCTATGTGATTTTTGTGTCGTAGAGAGAAGCTTGAATCCTTCCAGAAATCCTTTGAGAGTAGGTAATGTTATCAATGTGATCTGCTAAGAATGTGACACCATACCACGGAAAAAATCCTATGCTGCATTTTTCACCTACTGATAAACACTAATGATAAGATTCCAGGGTGGTGAATGTAGCCATGTCACATTTTTGTCTGTATGGACTGATTTTTGTCGCAATAATCTTAACGTTAGAGATAGCGTGGTTTTGCTGTACAAAGTATACATTCCGATTTATTGGCAAGTACATGTATGAATATCCACTATATTGCCAATGTAGAGACATTACAAAACCAGATAATTGCTGCATAGGAAATCAGTAGCCCCAGTGACAATGGGATATGAGTGGACATCAATAATAACACCATACATATATAGGAGCACTTTGTCATACCAACATATTGACTTGTGCAATTATTACAATAACAATGGTTATATTGTTGATGTGGAGAATTGGCTGAAAAGGGTTATGCAGTGTTGGTTTGAGCGATAAACATATGCAGCCTCTTAAATGCCAATGAATGCAGGCCTCCAGGGTAGAGCTCATATGATTTGATGCATTGTATCAAGCAAACATGTATATCAGGCACTGGGAGTCATTATCAGTAAGTCCATGAAGACAATTTCAACTGCAAAGAAAGAGCAGTTAATGTAGCTGTAAGACAAATACCTCATCATATTTAACTGGTGGGCGGATTGGTAAAAGTGCAGAGGAGTGTACAGCTGCAGCCGGGATTGTCCAGCGCAAGGATACCCACTAACTGTTAGTCAAGTTTTTGATATTCTTCAATTTCCAACTTCCATGATTCCAATGGAGTATCCATAACAAATCTTTTTTAAATCTACCATGTGGTATTAATGTGGACTGGTTGATCCGTTAGTGATTATGCATGTTAGTTGGATCCAGCCTTATGGACCAATACAGAATAGGTGTCACAAATATCATAAATAATAAATGAATGAATGACTTATCTCACTGATTTTCTTGGTGTATATTTGGGTAGCGATGATGTGAAGATGATGAAGGAATATCCACTGACAATGTCTTGCTTGCAAAAAAGGTTTATTACAAGAAGTTCAGCATCAATACCAGCACTGCAGTCTGCCTGGAGAGAGATTCTGAGCCAATGTGAATCTCTTCTCCCTAACAGCTCCAACTCCTCGTTTATACAGGAGAGTTGTCGTCGTAAACCTAAAGAAACATATCTGGTTTCCCTAAAAGGACACCTTCTTCTGTCTAAAGACAGAGTGCCAGTTTAAGTTGAGAGCAGTGGTTTGAGTCTTGACCTATTGACCTGATGCCCACACCATTCTTGTAGGTGTCTTTGTGCTTTTTCTATAGGTTATTGTCAAATTAAACAATGAATCAGAATGCAAATCATTAATAGGAAAATATGGTGATAAGGCATTAATGAAACGTCTTTTGTCTGTTTCCTTTAGGTTAAGCAGTGTCACTGAAATAGCAAATCAGTTTATTTCAAAACATACAGCACAACAATTCATACAATTTAGATGAAATGAACTAGTGAAAACATCATGAGGATTATTCTACATTAAATTTCTGCAAATGGTTCCTTTTCACTTAAATCTTACACACTGGAACTAAAATGTTGAATGTTGGTGATACACTGAGAGATGAACTGTGGCTTGGGTTGAGAAAAGTCTATATCTACTCTTGAAAAAGCCAAGTCAATAGGAAACAAAATGGCATATTGATACACCAATATTCAATAATATCACATAAACAGGTGGAAAATCTATACATATTCCACAATATCAAAAATGTAGTATTCATATCTTTTCTGACATCTACAACAATGATGGTCTAAGATCCTTTCAAGACCTGAGGGATGATCGTCTTTCTTTTTTAATTTACAGCTGCTCACTGCCATGTGCACATGTGGGGTTCCATGGAATCAATCATACCCACCTGCTTGCAGAAATAATAACAGGGTTTTGACATACGGGCAACAGCACTTGTTAAATTATAAAGTCATTCACAGGTTTTAAATATCTCCAAGAAAGCACAGCCAACTTAAAATGTCCTCAAAATCAAATTGGAACATATATAAATATGTTGTTGGATTGTCCGGTGTTAATTTCTGGAAGTGGGTAGCAAGAATATTATCAGATGTAATGAAGTAGTTATACCATGCCTTCCAAATATTATTCTATTGAAGGATGACTCTGCTCTTGATTTATCAAGCTATCAAAACAACAAACTTGTTCTGTGTAATAACAGCAGTGAAAGGAATGGTAGTATAATGAGATAAAAATATCTGCATGATTTAATTATACATTTCCCAATGCTGAATCATCAATAGGAAGAAGACAGAGCATGAAGGCTGAGGCAACAGATCTGTCTAGTAATGGAAAAGTGAGATCTCGTGTGTATGTGTGTATTAATATAACGGAGGGGGATTCATCTAATAAAACAGCTTCGGATGACGATGATCTTAAGTTTAAGCGTCCATGTTTAGTTATCTTATCCTGTTGTGTTTTTATGTGGACTTCCTCCTTATTTTTGATTAAAATTCCGTCCCCTTTTGCTCCTGTGATAACGGCCACAAGAGGTCACCATAAAATTAAATGCTACTAAGGGAATATTTATGTGGATATACTTCATGAGTATGAAAATCTGGATGCTGCTGACCTCCCTCACAGTAACTAACATAACCTGCAGAGAAACGTTCAACCAGACAGGACGCAATTCATCAGTTACTCAGACACAAACCTGTAAGTCATAAGTGAACCATCTGTTGAAGCACGTTGAGTAAATCCTCAGTGTTGATCATTTTGTCTATTTTGTGTTGCCCTGCTCTCTGCGTTGATTAATGCTTTGTTAGTATTTACTATTTTACTTTTCATAATCACAAAGCTGTCTTTTTGTTGATGCACTCAGCTACTCACGGTATCTAGTGACCGTCTGTTCATCCTGGGAGAGGGATCGTCACATGTGGCTCCCTCTGAGGTTTCTACGTTTTTCAGGAGTTTTTCTTTACTCTTGTTGAGGGTTAGGAGAAAGGATCACGCACCTGTGACTTGTGAATGTGGGCTAAACAAATAAAATTGATTGATTGATTGAAAGCAGGTTGACAAGGACACTGCACTCTGCGAGTGCTCTCTATGCCTGTCTCTAATTAATAAATGGAGCCAAACGCATTTTTCACTTCAATGTTTTTATTTATCGCGCGACATAAAACAATATTGTGGGCTTTTTACCACATACACTATGTATTCACATAATACACCATACAGCTACAAAGAGAGAGAGACTGAACAAAAACACTTTTTTTACATACTGCATCCTTGACATGAAAAAAAAAAGAACCAAGAACAATCCCAAAACTCAAAAAGGAATGTAGCTGCCAGTTGTGTTGGTTCGTTTCCTTTTTTTTCTTTTTTTTTTCTTTCTTTTTCTTTGAGTGGGCCAGGGTCAAGGTCTCTTTCTGAAATTAAGAGTGTTTATTAAATTAGGGCCATACACAGTGAGATGCATATGTATGTCTATGTGTGTGTGTGTTTGTGTGTGAAAGCGAAAGATAAAATATACAAGGTGTTAAGAGAAAGAGAGTGGTGGAGTAAAGGAAGTGCATGACTAGGGAGAAAAAGAGGGAGGCATTACACAATTGCTAGCCTGGTATTGTCCAAATATCTTAGCATTCAATTAACATGAACATATACAACATACTCAAAAGATAATTTTAACAACCTTTGGTACTTGCACTGTACCAAAACATGAACCCCGGATAACAGTCTTCATATAATCTGATTCTATATCTCGTCTGAGTTTAAATGACTTCAAGTACAACTTGGAATGAATGTTGATAGAGAGTAGGTTCAGCTGTCTGAGTCTCCCCCTGCCCTCAAAAAAGAGATGTACACTTGTAGCGTTGTAACAAAAGACTTTTCATAAAGTCAGCACCAGGGCAGCTTCTGATCCTGTGAAACCGCTTTAATCAAAAGTATAATCCTCTGGACATTTGAGGAGCTCAGAAAAATATTAGTGGTGATCATTTATATCACTCAAATGTTTTACACACACTGAATTTAAGGTGTAGCATCATAATAGCACCAATCCTCGCAAGAACCACCCACCAAACTGGTGAGTCATTTTGGAAATGTACAGTTATTTAGGTATGATGTATACCGTATCCTCAGCACCCTCAATTAAGGTTAAGTGTGTATGTGTATATAATGTGGGCCATGCATCATGGGTAAAAAAGGAAAAGTGGGTCCAGTCTCTGCCCTTGCACCAATCACACTACTGTTAACCATAATGTGTGTGTGTGTTTTATAATTATCATCACAACCTAAACACTGTGTCCTCCACAGGGACATCAAGTGCATACTTACTATTATGAGAACTAGATTAGATAATTATGACGGATACATCTAAACAAGCAGGGAGGCAGATATACCTGATAGTCTAACACAACTGACAAAGATTGTGGTTGTTTAATAACTTGCTAAAACATCGCCCACTGATTCACTTTAGACTTGATCTGCAGCCTCCAGTGATCCCTAAACATCTGGAACATGTTGCTCCACCGGTTAAACAAGAGCAGGTCTACTGACATTACAGGAACAGTTCAACATTGTGGTTAAATACGCTTATTTACTTTCTTGTTGGGTGATTGGAGAACATTGAAGCTCTTTCACGTGTGTTGGCATAAAAAACTTAACAGTTCACTAACACGTTATATCAAGTTGGTGAAAACATCAGGTGGGTTTATTTCCGTTGTTTCTACACTTTATGCTAAGCTAAGTTAACCAGCGGCTGGATATAGCTTAACATTTATTCTTCAGATGTAGAAATGGCTTCAATCTTCTCATTGTTCCCAAAATGTTGAACTACTCCTTTAAACAAAAGACGGATCAGGTTTGTGGCAACCTACTTAGATTTGTTCTTAGCTTACTGATCATTGTTGTTGAGTTGTGATATTTTTCAGGGTTAAATTCAAATTTGACATTATTATTACTTTATAATGAGAGTTTCTCTTCACATATTATTTGTCAAGGTTTTGGTCAGACAACAAGAAACATGGGGCGATCAAGTCAAGTGCAGTTCCATGTTTGATAAGTGGGCTAATGAGTTTTTAGAAAGTGACTGGTCTTTGTCGGTTACATGCTGACATGGGGAACAGTACTTAAGAAAGCAAAACAGCAGTGTTACGAAGCACACATGTACACACAACACAACAGGTCCAAGTGTTGTTTACTGTTGTTATGGGCTGTCAGACACTTCAAAATACCCCCTTGTTATGTCATTGTTTAGTTACTATCCTCACCAGTTAAATAATCTTACCTAAATATTTTAATATTTACATTTTTTATCTCTCTCTTGAGAAACCCCCCCCCAAAAAAACCTAAGCTTCAAGTTGTGAATATTCGGCTCTTTCTTTTTGTCTTTAAAATCAAGATTAAAAGTGCTTTTATAAATCTTTTCTTCTGTATGTACAATTTGTATTAGCTATATAAAAAAGATGAAAAAAAAAACATCAAAGACAATCATTATCATCATCACCATGTAGTAATAAATAAAGAGTAAAAAAAAAAGGAGGTTAAAACGAGTGAGGAGATCTAGAGCACACAAAGGGACATATGCTTGATTCTCTGCCCTCAGTAGCAAGTTGGGATTGTGACCAGTGTCTCTACAGCGTGAGGTAGAGAGCTGGAGACTGACCCCCCGATGAGGGGTCTTTCACAGGTGGGCCTTGACCCAAACAACCACACAGCATCCAGGAGTTGGTCTGTGTCAAGTTCTATTAGTCGCTCATGTTCATTTTAATTTCCATCACATGTTGAAAGTAAACCGTGATAGTCACCTGATTGGAGATATTATAAAAATGAGGGATTCATGGGATTCTACTGGCTGTTATCAAATAGTCTCTCTCTTTGGTTCTTCTCTTTCACACATGCACACACACACACACACGCACACTCACACATGTACACACACACGCACACTCACACTCACACACACTCACACTCACACACATACACACTCACACACATACACACAAAGTGAGAGATCCATTGACTCAATGCAATTGCATTTCATGCCAAATCCCAGAAGCACCAGTAATTTTCTAAGATCTCCCTTTGACTCTCAGTGCTGTATTTTCTCCGTGAATGAGTTTCCGAGAATGCATTGAACAACTTTGCTTTCTCTGCTCTGTACAGTGTACTTTTCTGTGAAATCAAACCACTTATCCATGACAAACTGCAAAACATCGCCGCAGAAGGAACCTATTCTAAGGCCCAGGGACAGAGCTGTGAACACAAGGCCGCTGCTTTGATTGCTTGTCTCCGTGGTGACAAGGTGCCTGCAGAAGGACACGCCTCGCTCTGCTCGAAGATGACAGCACCATGCAGAGGACGGGGTGGGCCCTTCACAGTATATCAAGTGTAATAGGAGAGCACCAGAGTGTGTCTAGGAGCACCGAAAACACTACTATCCCAACACTGTGTCCTTCTGCTCTGACCCAGGATGGGCCTCACAAAGCCATCTCTGCTCTTCATTCACATTTGTGCCACAATGGGGCAAAGATCAGCGTTACCTCCAGCTGCTTTAACAAATATCATCCACGATCAGCAAACAGGGTGTGAGAACTCCCTCTATTGGCCATAGATGGTCAAAGCAGCAAGGCAAGGCTCTACTGTCTTCTGAATGGATCTCAAGTGCTTGAAGGTTTGTCTGTACACACCACTTTGAAACAGTAGTCACTGCTGCCCTCTAGAGTTTACACTGGAAAGTGGTCAACCCCACTTGAATGTGATAGGATGATACAGAGTGCAACCTATAACATCTCTATATGATATTTGCTGATCTGGTTCAAACAGCATTTAAAAATAGTACCACTTATTTTAGCCTCTGTGGATTACCAGATGTTTTCCACACAGGAAAACAAAACATTAGTAAGTCAGTATACTTTTCTTTGCATGGTTAATTTCCTGCACTTTTGTCTTGTCAATAACAATAATCCCAATCACTCTGATACTCCACCTTGGTCATAAGAAAAATATTAACTTGCAAATACCATTTGAGCCAGATCTAAGCTCGAGCACCAGAACAAAAACAGCATCAAGTGCCATGAAGAGTAGTGGAATGAAAATTGAACAGAGCTGAGCACCAATTGAAAGCTGGAGGGTTTAGAAGAGGAGGAGGAGCACATCATCCAGGTACAAGAGAAGCAGCAATGTGGGGTTTTAGGGCTTATTATTATTTATGACTTCAGAGCACAGGGTCACTGCTCTCAGATACACACTGAAACCAACCACTGTGGAAAATGTGGAACATTCTGCAGAACTACCAAATTTAGGAAATATAGACCCACATTGATAATATTCAAAATACATTTTTTAAAAGTAGATTCTATAAAATTAAGGCTTCATATCTGTCAATAATGGAGATACATATCTACGGGAAGCCTGCTGTAAAGGCTTTACTATATAGAGCGGTATGATTACTGCGATATTGATTTGCTGTCTTGCCCCACAAATAATGGCTCCTCCTCTAAGCACAGCTGGAATATTAAGAACAAAGAAAGTCTAATGGAAAATAGGGAACATGTTTTCCAAACATGGAAAAAGAAATTGTTTGAGTCCCACTGACTCAGACTGATTGGTTTAAAAAATATATATAAACAAAAAAAATGATATCATTAATAACATTAATGAAAACATCAATAATAAAAAAAAACAAGTCTTCATTATAATAATACCTGTAATAACAACATTGACAGTAACAATAGCAATCATAATAATATTGATAATAGCAATAATTAGAACCATTAAAATTCTACAAACAAGAGAAAGCAATGGAGTTCCTCTCCAGGGAAGAGAGAGGAAGAGCACCACAGGCAGTGTGTCTGAAGCCCAAACCACTGCCTGACATGAGGTAAAAACAATAAAAATGTCCCCTCCTCAAAGAGGACTGCAGAGGGGGCAGGATTGAGAGATGCCAGACTGCAAGACGGGCGGGGAGACATTCATCCTGCTCATCGCTGTCTCCAGCCTTGCACCATTCTGTAGTCAGTTTGTGTCTGTCTGACCTCAGACAAAGTGGCTGTAGGGCCCAGTGAGGCGGGTGAAGGCATAGGGAGACACAGTAACCATAGAGGTGGTGTGGAACGTAGGGGCTAACCTTGTCACCGGCCCCTCCCTCTTGTCTTTAGATTGTCCTGGTCCTGGACTCGCACCTGCCACTGTAGCCCCCCATTTGCGTTTTTTACCAAGGGCCTTGATGTCTTCCTGGGAGAGGCCAAGGAGAGCCGCTTCCTGCTGCCTCTGCAGCGCTCGCTCCGCCAGTAGCTTCATTTTGGCCTCCCACAGAGCCAGGCCATGCATTGGCTGGTTGAGGTTCTTGTGCTGGTAGAAGACCAGGGAGATGCGGGTGGGGTGGGAGCGATCAGGCTTTCTGAGTGGTGTGGTGGCATGTAATTCCCGACGGGCACATTCAATCAGGATGGAGCCATGGGCTGGTGCAACAGCTACACCCCCAATATTGGGATCCAGGAAGTTGTGCTCGCTGTCCGAAAACACCTCATCCTCTTCTAGGCGCTTGATTCTCTCTATGTCACTGTCAGCTCGCCTGAGGTCCCAGTGGACCTGATCTGACTGCTGTAGGGCATCTGGGAAGAGACGGCCCTCAGGGGCAGGGGACGGAGTACTGCCTGCCACTGAACCTCCACAAGACTTCCAGGCCTTCTCCTGGAGCCCAAGGGGAGTGGAACATCGACTCTCCCCAGTCTTGGACCAGATTTTGTCAGGGTATGCTGCAGGATTGCTGTGCTTCAAACCAGGGCTATATGCAGCAGGGCTGGACCAGTGTCTGGGGTTGCCTGGGTCTGGGGTACCGGGCTGTGGTGTAAGTGAGCCTGAGTGAGAAATGCCAGGCTGTGGTGTACCTGGGTGAGAGGTGCTTGGGTGTGGGGTGGAAGGACGTGCAGAGCCTTGGTATATGTTGCCCGGGAGCGGAGTGCCAGGGTGAGGGGATGGAGACGGAGAGAGAGGTACCTGATGTGTTGGTGATGGGGCAGGGGAGGCCATCATGGCATGTGAGCCGGGGTATGATGCCCACTGCTGGGGGAAAGGAGAGGACTGCCGCTGCTGGGAATGCTGGTGAAACTGCTGCTTTTCCAGTTGCAATGATGCAGCTTCAGGACTTTGTTTCTGGTGCAGATGGCTGTCCCAGTTTGTGGGAACGATACTTCCGTTAAGCTTGTGTCCTGGCCAAGCAGCATGCTGGATGATGTTGCTCGGTGTGTTAGCACCAGCCTGGCTTGGCACTGTGCCTTCATAGACTGGCACATCCATAGGCTCCTGTTTGATTACTGGAGTGCCCCTGTTGGAGTGCTCAGAGGAGACAGAGGAAGGACGGGACTGGTTGTAATCTGCAGGCTGGCCATAAGCGCTATGGTGTGGTTGGCTGGTTTGCTCCAGGTGGCCAGGGTAGGACTGGGCCAGTTTGGCCTGAAGGATCTGAATATCAGGTTTCTGGTCGACTTGGACAGCCTTACCGCCTGCTTTGGGCAAAGAGCCATTTCGGCCCTCATAGGTCCTCAGCTTAGGGGGGAAAAGAACATTAGGGGGGTAGTTGTAGAAGCCATAGTGCACTCCGGGAAGATTTGATGGTGGATGGTAACCATTCACAGGATCAGGTGCAGAGGGCTGGCCAGTTGGGGGGAAGCCTCCCCTTGCATAGCAGGCAGGGTGTGGATAAATGTTGTTGAATGGGTCTGCTGCCTGCACAGGGTATCCATCTATTGATCCGTTGAAGGGCTCCTTCTTGATGTTGGGCTTCATCTCTTGTTTTATAATTGCTGAATGATCAAAACAAATTTTAAAAAAATTAGATACTAAACTTATTATGATTTTATTAGAGGCATTTTACTTTTTTTAATTTTTCCATTGGACTGGTTACTGCCACACAAAGCCTCAAGTCAAACCAACTAACATAGGCTGTTTTAAGACATAAAGTCTGTACCCAATTCTCCGGACTTTACCCACAGTTCACTTTTCACATATGCACAACACAACTGGATGTTCTTTGCACAGTAGCGTTCACAACAAATCCTCTGCATTATTCAGGTGAGAGCTGGTGCAGCCCAGTACAGTAGGCAGAGGCAGGCATCGGATTCTCCTGACTTTTTATAGACTTTATGAGCCAGAAGCCACGTGGAGAGAGTCCGCAGATAAACAGGGCCTCTCTCACCCTTCTGCATTTACACATGCACCTCCTCTGGAGAAAATACAGAGTATCTGCAGAGTTCAGTGCATGTCTGAAAGCAGCTATAATTTCCTTTTAAGTGACACACAAAAAAACCAAACAATAACCAACCTTTATTGCCTTGGGGTTGAGGTGCACTGCAGACCTCAGTCTTCAACACGGTTTTCTCTGGCATCTCCCCTGCCTGCTGCATGAGTTTACTTTTCTTCTTCTCTGTTGCAGCCTTCTTGGCCTCTAGTCGGCGCTGTCTGCAAGACTTGGCAGGTTCAGGCAATTTGCGTACTTCACGGCGGAAAGCCTGCAGCACCTGGAGGGCTTTTGTTTGCATCTTGAGCTGCTGGGCCTCCTCGCTTCCAAACTCATCAGTCCGGGAGATCTTGTATAGAGGCAACACATGAAGCTGCTCGTCCTCAGGGATCTCCTGCACCGAACGGTTGTCCTCTTTAGTTAAAGTGCACACCTATCAGAGAGGAATATGGTGAAATGTAAACTGTGCCAATTACAGAACGTCCCTTTATTTAGCTTCACAGACAAATAACATTATGGCTGTTTTCACTTTAAATTAGCACCAAAACAAACATTTAGGATTATGGTGAGTGGTCTTACCACTGTGCAACCATTATGGAGATTGTGCTGGTCCTTATGAGCGTGGGCACAGAAGTCCATGCAAGCAGTGACTCCAGAGAACGGTCGGCCATCCTTTATGCCCAGCCTGCACTCTGGAGCTTTGGACTCTGACTGACACTAAAGAAGAGGACAGCAACACGAGACAACAGTTAACAACTGCTAAGTCTTTTCATCCAAGATAAACACACATGAATATTAAAGTTTTTTTCTCCAATCTCAACCACAGCACTTCAGAGACCTCTTTGTAAGAAGCAGGAAGCATTAAAGTGTGGTAGCCAGTGTCTTGATAGTCTGACATACAGAACCGTTCACTGTATGTGAAAAACATTAGAGGTTTAGTGCCGGTGAAATTAGGTTTTTATTGTGTTAAGATTCTGTCTCTACAACAAACCTGATTACTGTACGCCTGTGGGGCCAGCCGTTGGTACAAAGGAGCCACCTCAGTTGCCAGATCCTGAAAGTTATCCCTGAGTTTCTCCTCCTGCAAAAAAAAACATGAGCCACAGGTCAGAAGAAATCACAGACTTACAGAGCTTTAAAATGGTAACAAAACCTAAACAAACTCCTTCATTGTTGTGGTTGTGATGAATACCTCTTCAGGGTGATCTCCTTGTAGCCTGAACTTGCGTGGCAATTTGCTTCGAGCGTACTTGCAACCATTAAAGTACATACTCCACGAGCAGCCAAACGAGAAGGAAGCACCACAACTATCAGGATCCTTGCCTTGACATGCACAGGTACGGCTGCAGGGGGAGACAGTGAGCATACTCTCAGCTTAATGTATAAACGAGTGAACCCCATGTATGGTTGTACATCATGCGTGTACACTACAAGTCAACTGAGCTTAATTAGACATGGAAAGGTCAATGAGGAAAATTGGGTTACATCACATTATCATGGTCTCCTGCAAGTTCAATGGAACAGATATTAATTTTATCTTATACTTATAATGCACACATTTGAGGTCATGAATTAGCAAGTCAATAGGCTAATAGCATTTAAGGTGCATGTGCAAACATCTGGTGAGGAAGATAAATTATTAAAATGTTTTGCAAACATGTTTTGTTTTGATTTAGCATGATTTATGTCTGGAGATCTTTAACTTTTCCATATCACAAACACCTATACAGATCTCACAGGATGATGGGCATAAACCCAGCCACATAGACAACTTAATGATATGGGTCTTTCTCTAACTCCTGATAAAATGACTTGAGGCAAAATAGTTAATGTTACGAAATTAACTCTTCCCTCTAAGTTCCTCCATGACCAAAATACCAGGCATACATGCAGCAAAGGTACAGTAATACAATATAATGCTGACATGCAGAAACCATTTGTTTGAACATTCACAAAATACTCAATACTCACTCATCGTTCAGGCCACAGCGCCGGCTGGTGGGGTTGCCGTATTTGGTGAGGGTGTCGCTGAGCTCACGGTACAGCTTGTCAGCCAGCATCTTCGGGACACCTTCCCAGGCCATAATGAGGATGATGATGACAGCGTTGGCACAGTGGTGGCCTGCACGCTCACGCACCAAGCAAAGCAGCTTCTCTGTCTCACTGCCACGGCGGATGACCTGACGGGAAACAAAGCTTATCATTATACTAGCTTTTACTTACACAGGGCAGTTAGATAAACATCCAGACTTTTTCTCACAACTAAAATGAAATGACAGTTAAAGCACCTTTAGATGTAATGCATGTATACACACTTTGGAAATACTGTGCAAAATAAAATGTAGTTGATGCTTACACTGAAAAGCCTGAAATCTGCATTGTTTTACTGAGAGCTGCAAAGTCAATTCACATTACACATACTAGAATATGTTATTACATTTACTCTGGTGGAATCAAGGATAAACATATCCTACCTCACATAACCTTATTCTGATTACTCCCAACTTTTTACCACCCTGCTGTTTTTGACTCATATTATCTTTATATTCCCTGTCTCTCTCTGTCTCAAACACACCAACTCACTCACACACACACTCACACACACACACACACACACACACATTCTCTCTATGGTTGTGAGAACACACATTATTTGCATAATGCATTCCCTAGCCCCTTACCCTAACCTTATCACAACTTAATGACTAACCCTAAGTCTTAACCCTTAAACAAGCTAAAATGTCCTCAAAATATCAAAATATCCTTACAATTATGTTTTTGAATTCAAATTTGCCCTAAAAACTATACAAAGACAAGTAATCACTCGCACACACATTCACTCACTCACTCACTCACTCACACTCACACACACACACACACACACACAGTAGTTAGCGATAAAGTCATAAAGTCATTAGCAGGAAGTGTCAGGGGTGACAGGAAGGAAGAGCAGGCAGTTGTTACAAGGGGGAGACCTCCTATTGATTTACTCACTGTTAGTAAACTTGGCTGTGTGTCTCCCCACATACTCAGTACAAGTACACACACACATACGCCCCACTCCACATCAATCTGTTGTTGATTGGCTGTCTTCGTTGTTCTCTCTCTTACTTTACCACAATGCACCATTCTTTCATTATATCTGTCATTCGATGAAGGCTTTATCAAACTTCATCACCTGACAGTGGTGATAAGATACAACTTACCCACTTCGCGATTGGACATCCTCGTGAGCTCTTTCCCTCTTTGCCTGTGTACACCACCTTCTCAATCCGGACGGCTTCCCCTTTCTCTCCATACCTGCACAGGAGATGACAAAAGTTACAGTTGTTCTAATGTTCACACTTTTGTCACTACATTGAAACACTCTCTCTTTTCTGTGTGTCAGGTTCTAAAAGAGCCAGGCTCACCTCAAAGAACCTAAAAAAAGCACACTGATAGTTTTTATGCTTTCATGTGTTGTTGAAATTTGAACTGGGACACAACACAATGACCAATTGACCATCAGTATGGATGTATGTCCCGTGGCTGTATCCACAATCCAAAAAACTATGCTGTATTGATATGCTGAAAAGGAAAAATGTGAAATTAATAATTTACTGAGATGAACATAACTGCTGCCTCTGGCAACACATTGCAAAGACTATGAGCGACACATGGTCACAGAAGCTCAGCAACAGTCAGCAGCTGCTCACTGCTGCATCAGTGAAGGAGACATAATTGCACATAAGTTTGTTGATATTTTTAATAATTTTTTCCAGGTAATCCAGGTAGTTTTTCTGAATCTGTTGTGTTTTCTTTAAAGAAGAAGTCTTCATAGAAGTCTATTGGAGTAATAACATGAATACGTTCACACAGCGGGAACCTGATTTTTCCCCCTATGTGACCCACATCTGATTGTTGTGATCAGCACAAATCACATGGGATCTGATATTTTCACATCAGATTTGGGCCACTTTCATATGTGGTTCTAAATCAGATACAGATTCAATTTTTTGAAATGCGACCTCAGTCTGAACAGTCAAGTAACCCATATCCGAATTTTATGTCGCTCTTGATCAACATTCCTCACAATTGTGCACAGGTGAAGGAACATGGAAGATGGAGGTAGTCAGTTGAGGTACAGTGAGGTTATAGACCTCATGAGAATTCGACGTGACGTCTGGACAAGCAAAACTTGATGAGTCGTATTGTAACAGGTCTGTGTTTGAAAGCATAGCAAGAGAAAAATTGAACCACAAATGCTCACATCTGTGCCCTCCATGTTTATTACCAATTTTTTTTCTTGTTTATTTCCATACACAGCTTGCTGCGTGTGACGTCTTGTTGTTCTTCTGCACATGCAAGTCACATCAAGGCCATGACCAGTCCACATTGGAGTCTGACACTGGCCACACTTCAAAAGATAATGTGAACCGCTAAATACAAAAAATTGGATCTCGAAAGAAATCAATATTGAGCAGTGTGAACGTAGCTTAAGTTGAATAAAGACAGGCCAAGCTCAGCAGTTCTGGCAGGAGAGGAGTGTTCATAAGACTCTGCTGAGATTCACACAGGAGCGTCAGTGTAAACCAGAACCCACGAGCCTCTGCACAATGCCAGCCACAGGGATCCTCTTGGACAGATTTCTCTGCTGGGGTTTGTGTCAAAATATCCATGCATGATGCTGTTTTGTGTGTTTGCTCTGTGTGTTTGTGTGTATGGGTGTTGGGAGTGCTCTGACAGCCAGACCACATTTCCGCCCCAACTTTTGGTTAAGTGTGGAGCTATATAATAGAGGGGAGGGGTCATAGGTTGCATTGGGGGTTTGGGTGGACCTTTAGAACCTGTCAGATGCCATATCAGATCCCCTCGCTGCCTGATACCTGCCATTGTGAAAACTTCAGCCCTGAACGGATTTGGCGGGACAGTGAACACAAGGGGCTCCTGCTGAATAGCAATCACCCTGAGGGGGTGAGAAAGTGGGAGGTGGGGTAGGCTTTAGCACCACAGGGGTGGCCTGCTAGGGTCAGGGGTGGGTCAAAGGTCAGCTGGGGACTATGGGGTCTAAACATCCTACATCATCTCTCAAGCAGAAAGTAGTCTCTGGTCCAACGTCCTCACTCAACCTGTTCTCTCCCGGGACTAATGACTCATTTGTCTTATTGAAAACCTGCCTTTCAAGAAAAAGTAACCTACGTGTGCTTCAGTGAAATGCACAATGTACAATGTTCACTTCCTGTAAATAGGAGGTATGACTCAATGAGGCATCTAGTTATAAAAGGTTACTACACTGATTGTTTAAGTATCATGCTGTGGCAAATAACACCACAAAACATCATCAGATTGTATTAACTAATCCTAACCCTTAAAAACATTTAATCATGTTCGACCAGTTTTTGTGAAATAATCTGACAGCATTTTATCCCAGAGACTGTAACTGCACTTTGGTTATTAAAAGCATCAGCAGGGGATCTTTCTGCTATTACACCCTAAATTGAATAAACAGTAATCCTGTTTTTTTATAACAATGTCTGATTGATGCACTTTAGGCATTGGATTATTGGATTAGTTTGGTGAGGCTGTCTTGTTAATACTATGTATGAGACATGGATTAGATTTCCTGTTGACTAATACTGAACGTCATTTGCTTCTTGTATTTTTACAATCAATTTGACTTGAGATTGTTCTCTCTGAAGTTATATTTATATTATTTACAGATGTAAAAAATATCAAACATCAAAAGTATTATCCTCAATGAATAGAAAAGCCATATTATAAAATACAACTGAAGAAGATCCAATGCATAAAAACAAACTGAATAATATCATGATGATATCATATCAAATTTTCTACTACAATTTATTTTCTCTTTTCTTCTGTCCCTTCCTTCTGACTTCCTCTCCCACTATCTTTCTCTGTTTCTCTCTCTGTGATTGGATCTCTATCCTTCTTCCTCCCTCTGATATGCTGATGATGCTGTTACTCCTACTGGATTCTGGGTCACAGATTCCCTGAGGACAAAATGTGAGGAGGAGGGAAGGTAGAGGGAGAGGAGGAGGAGGCATGGACAGCAAGAACATGTAGGAGGGAGAGGAGTGGAGAGGAGAGGAGAGGAGAGGAGAGGAGAGGAGAGGAGAGGAGAGATCACCTTGTTTCCATCAGATTTCGGATGGAGGCCACAGTAGGTCCAGATCCCAGGTGATTGTAGTAGGGTCCTTCGTCTTTCTCCTGGATGTGTTCTGGAAAATCGACAGTGCAGAGTGAGGACATTAGATTTGGTATTGACAGTTTACTGATTCTCCTATTAAGGTTCTATTACATATCTTAAATACTCTGTGACAGACACTTGAGTTTATCTAAATATAACTATTATTAAGTCTGGCTGTCTTTTACTATGAGTTACTATTAGTATAAATAGTATTCTTATACAGCTTTGTGAATCATTTTCACAATTACATATTGAATTTCCTTAAATGCACTCAAAGGGAGTAAGAAAACATTTATTTTTCCTTAAATCTCTGCTCAATTTGCAAAACAACGGAAAGGTTAAATGACAGTACACTTATTTTCGATACATTGTGCTAAACTTAGGTTAATATCATTTTATGTCAATAAACATTGCATTAATCAAATAAATCTCCACAATTAAGAATTAAATCTATTTAACTCAGTAAAGAGTGAAGCTGTGTTTCTGCATGTTATTATATAGTTTCTGTTGTACCAGATCACAGGTACAGCTCATGTGTTTTGATGTTTTTTTAAAACTAAACTTTGCAGAACTTTGACAAGCGTGAGAATGTCTGACTGATTGAAACATCTAGTTCCCACAAGCACATAAACACCCCCCCATGCACAGACAGTGGGCTATGACTGTAGGGTGTGGTGCATGAGTGGAGACACTTTGCAAAGCAGAAGATTTTTGAGGTAGTCATGACTGACTCAGTATATGTGAGTGTTAATGGGACCGAGGGTGTGTCTGAGTGCACATTGTGTGTGCACTTGTGTTGTGTATGGGTCTGTGTGTGTAAGTGTGTAAGTGCATGTGTGTGTAAGTGTGTGTAAGTGTGTGTGTGTGTGTGTTTCTGACCACTGTCCAACACACGCCTTTATTTCTCAAACCAGGCCATGAGACTTCAGTGCTAATCTGTGTGTGTAACACAGTACAGCAGTGTGTGACCTACATTAACTTTAAGTAGATAGTAATTTAGACTGTATTGGACTTTGCATTGAATCTTTGCTTTAAACCAGAACTGTTTAACAAATAAAACTGTGTTGCTCTTGCTTCTGTATATAACAACTTTGTATCATCTCTAGTTGACAACATTATCTAAATGCTCTAAATGTAAATGTTTCCAACACTGTCAGCCGAACTGTCTGAAATATGGACATACGCTACACACATGTGTTGTGTGTGTCTGGCTCAAAGACAGCTTGAGGTCAGATTTCCCTGTTAGTGTAGGGAGACACCAGGGTGTGGCTCAGGGCAGGAAGTGGAGGAGTGATACTAAATTCTTGTGAGGAAATTGTGTCTATGAGTGCACATCATGGTTGTATATTGTAGTTCTGTAAGTTGGAGGCAGTCAAATGTGGTGATGTGCTACCAGGAGTAGACAGGGTAGTGTGGGAACACCCTCACTGTTATAAATATATAACCTGAGCAGGTTTCTGCCCAAACTACAGGACTGAAACATTTATGTCAAACAAAGAATCTGCTCTGATCGTCTGTCAGACCCAAATCCACTGCTGTGTGGGTTTGGGTCTGGAACAACTGCTATTGTGTCCCTCTGCTGCCTTCATTGTCTCACACTGTCACAGTATGGATGGTTGCAGCCAGACAACCCACTAACACACACATTCTTAGACACACTCAACAAGCATCTATAGAGAAGCTGGAGGGGGAGGTGTGAGAAACAAAAACTAATAGCTGACCTGTGTAGATTAAGTAGTAAAGCATTGGCAGTGATTGTTTTATTAATGTTTAGCTCAATAGCTAAATATTCAACTTGCAAGAATTTATTCCTGCACGCAAACTTGCAACATTCATTATCTGACACTGGTCAGATTAAAATACTTGAATGTCACTCTACTCAGAGATAAATGGGTAACGTTTGTGTGAACATTAAAGAATATGCATCTCAAAAAGGTGCTAATGCAGTTTGTGGAATGACAGCAACCTAATTCTCCAGCATACAAACAAGCACTAACACACTGACTTACCCACACAGGTACAGAGGGGAAACTCTGACTGTAGATCCTTGGAGGGAGTATCCAGCAAGCTCTTGGTGGGGCTCTCCAGGTAACGCAGAGGAGACTCAAGGAAGCCTCTGAGAGATGGAGACGAAGGAAGACTGTCCTTCGTGGGAGTGTCCTCTTCAGAATAGCATGTGGTGGACAGAACTGCTATATCACCCAAGGCTTCAATCTTCATGCGTTTAGGCAGCTGGGAACAAGGCATGCTGAACTTATCCTCTATCACACTGGGCTGCTGCTGCTGGTCCAGCATTGCCTCATGATGCAGAGAAGGCTTCTCCTTCACAGGGGTTTCTGTGGATGCCTGGTTCATGGTTGATTCACTTTGGGTCCCTGACTCGTCCTTGTGAGCTTCCATCTCCTGATAACTTGGATGAGGTGTGGAATTAGCTTGAGTGGTGAGAACTGAGGGAACTGACTGGGATGTGGATGAGGATGTGGGACTGAGGTCCTGAGGACTGGTCTGGGATTGATTCCCCAGCTGCGGTGCTGTAGCAATTTCCTCCATAGGCTGACCAGCAGAGGCATCTGGGGCATCCCCAAATTCAGCCTCAAACTGGCGAATCAGTTCTTCGTACTTAGGGTCTATGTTGATAAGACCCGGTAATTGTGAGGTGCTGGATGGAGACGTGGAGGTCAGAGGTGTGGTGGTGCTGGTGTTACTGGGTGCCAGGGTGCCCACTCCTTCTGACTTAGCATGGGCTGCAGGAGCCACAGGTGGGGGCAGACGGCCCATATGGGCTGGAGTGTTTTCTGACAAAGCAGAAACGGTAAAAGAGGGAGTCATTGAGGAGTTGGACATGGATACCTGAGATTGGGCTGGGGCAGGGAGGCCTGCAGCAGCAGCCTGAGTGGAGTTACTATGGAGGTGCAGAGGAGGAAAACAACCTGCTTGCAGGCTGGTCAGGGCTGGGGCTCTGTCCATCATGAGAACTGGTGGTTTTTGTACGGAGATCTGAGTCTGAGGCAGGAAGGTTGGCATGGAGGCTTTCTGCTTGGTCTTCTTGATGATTATCTGTTTGGGTTTGGTCAAGGGAGAGCTTGCAAGCATCCCACTCATACCTTTGAAGACAGGAGACCCCTGGACACTCCTTTTCTTCTTGGGTTCTTTAGGTTCCTGCTTGATGGCCAGATGTGGCAAACCTTCTGCGTCCATCTGTGGCCACCATTTTTTTAAGCTTTGGCAAGCCAACGGTGCACATGGGCCTGGTGCTCCAAAGCCAGGGGAGTGGTTAGAGAAGAGGTTCCTCTTGTAGTGAAGGTGCTGTTGTAGAGCTGCCTGAGTGGAGTGGCTGATGACTGCTTGGCCATGTGACAAGGGAGTGCCAGGGAGGTGCTGACCCTGCTGCTGACCATTAGCCATGCCATAATGTCCCATGGAGGCAGCATGATGATAGTGCTCACCAGAGTCTTGCTCTTGCTTTAACCTGGACAGTGCTGGGTTATCCTGGGCCTGGATACCTCCATTCTGGTTCAAGCTGAGCTGCTGTGTGACTGGAAGCTTGAAAGGAGCATTGCTAAACTTGCCACTGGTGTCACCAAGCAGCTGTTTGAGCTCTGACATAGGGTCTGAGCTACTGTGCGGTGCAGCAGCAAAGTGAGACTTGGGCTCAGACTTAATACACATCCATGGATTCCTCTGTTCAGAGACTCTGCCCGAGCTCTTCTGCCATTGTTGGGGATTGCGACTGAAGCCTGGAGGTTTTCCCTGACCTGGGAAGGGAGAGGTAGAGGAGGGGAGAGGGGAAGCATGAGGTGGCTGGCCCTGGGACTGGGGCCTGTGGTGCTCACAGGACACTGGAGCCTGCTGGCTGGTGTGTATTCCTGGAGGGACGGACTGAGAGCGTGAAGATGATGAGTGGGTGCCAGGAGAGTGTGGAATCAAGCTAGAGCCATTGGGTGGCTGGGATGGGAGATTCTGAGTATGTTGGTGGTGATGAAGGTTACTGATGTAAGGGCTTTGACCAGGAGAGCCAGGGGCTTGTGGATTGGTACCAGATAACTGGGTAAGGGCTTCAATGGCAATGGCTGTCTGAAGACTGATGTTCTTTTCCTTGGCTATGGAGAGCACCTGGGGGGAGCAAGGAATTGGGGGTTTGGAGCAGGGCACTTGGTCTTGGTATGGGCCTTGAGATCCCTGTAGCTGCTGAGAGTATGAAGTAGAAAGATGGTTGCCACCATTTACCTGGGTATAGGGCTGAGGTTGATGCTGCAATCGGGGTTGTTGTAGATGAGGGTCTAAGTGTGGTGGAGCATCAGTGATCTTGGGGGCACCTTGGTCCTCACTGGTTGCCAACTGTATCTTCTTCTCCAGCCACTCACGGTAGTCTGGACAGTCAGGCCCATCACAGTTGCAGTTAGGGGGCTTGTGTCCATGTTTGGCCTGGCTCAGTGCTGTCTGTAGGGTGTTCAGGTCTTCTGGAGTTTGACGCCTTCCCTCAGGAGCACCTGCAGAGATTCTGGCCTGAGCCCCCTCAGTACCCATCTCTTGGGTGAACCTTTCATATAACTGGGCTGTGTTAGGCTGTGTGACAAGGCAGGAAGAGGAAGAAGAGGGAGGCAAGGAGCCAGCAATAGCGGAAAAAGCCACCAGATTGTGGGCATCCTCCATGTTTGCATGGTGCACAGGCTCACCAGGGGTTGCACCGCTGCTGCTGTTCCAACAGGGCTGCTGTTGGGTGTCACTAACTTTGCCATGTCCTGCCACCCAACACTTTCTCGGAGGCATGCTTTCTGCCCTCTGCTGCTCCGTTTCCATAGATTCCTCATCATCAGTACGGTAGCGATTCACTCCATTGGCCAGTTCCAGGTTCAGCGCTCCTTCCTGGAGGCGGTCATGTGACCCAATTTCCATCTGGCCTCCACTTCTGGGGCCATCCACTGAAGTGACTTCACAAACAGTCTGAAAGACACATATAAAACAAGGTTAGTGAGTTTATAAGAAACCAATAAATCCAGGACTGATATGGAAAAAAATACATTAGACATAATCACCCATTGTCCCCATGTGTAAATAACAATAACTGTAAATGTAAAAAAACACATTTTTATAATTCATCTGTAATTCAAGAATAAGTTGAGTTTCAGCTATAAAAGTAAAGTCAGAGTATATTCCCCTTTTCACAGCTCTCCCCTCTGAAGCAAACAGAACATACAGTACCACAGGATCAGGTCATTGGGGCTCAAGAAATGTAAATTAACTACGGTTTCAGTGGAGTGATCAGAGCCTGTCACAGGTCATGTGACACATTGTCACTGCTGTATATGAAGACACACTACTCCCAATCATTTGGACTATGCATAGCAGACAGATGGTGTTGAGAGACTGTGTGGTACAGGTGGTGGAGTGGTGAGGAAAACAATGTGCAAGACACAAGTAGGCAAAAGTGGAATCACAGGAAAAAATATCTTTCAACTCTCAGGACTGGACTGAGAAAAAGTGCAAATACTACTTGAAATACATTGTTATGCTGTCATATCTGAAAGTAATGTACACAAACACACCATTCACATTACACTCATTCACATTCTTTATGGATCTGAAAATTTAACAACTGCTAAATAATTTGATTATGTTAAAATGACTATAAATGTAGGCGTATACAGATTATCGTCTGTATTATTATTATTATTAAATATGTTTTATGCCCATTCAAAATGTGCCTGTGGCTGTATGAAAGTCACAAAGGAAATGGCCTGATGGAGAACTGGTTTCTATTTACAAACTCACAAAGCCACATTCTCTGATGTGCAGCAAGTATAAATAAATGGGGAGTTAAGATAAGGACTTCAACTGCTCATCCAAACGTAACAGTTGTAACTGCACATCCTGGATTCCCCTAGAAATACACCAGTTTCAAGATGAGTGGAGAGAGGTTGTTGAAGAACAAAACTCAAAGGACAGACAGAAAGACAGGCAGACACTAATTTATGGATTTATTAGGGGGGTTATTGAGGAGGGTTGGTTAATGATTTTTGTTTTATTTACATTCTTAATATAAAAATTTAATTAAACACTCGTTCAAAAGAAATTACAATACACAAAAGTTGTTCAACTTTTAAAGAGAACTACTTTTGAAATATGGTTTCAAATAATTTCTAATGGGCTTGGGTTGATTTGTTGTGTTGAAAAATGATTATAGCGGGAAACTGCAGCTAAACTAAGGGTCTGAAAACTTGCAGTCTATCACTTATTTACTGGATCATAAAACCAAAAGATAACCATCCAGAAAAAAAATCCTTAAATGCCAAACCATAAATGGTCAGTGTGTAATGCTAAAATAATCTTAAACCCAACAGACAGCACCTCATCTAACACAACAGCCTAGAGCAAGGCCTGGTTGTCATGAGATGTATCAGAGAGAACTGTTGATCAAGTGTAGAGCAACACTGACATTCTTTGTCAAAAGAGTTAAAGAAAATCTTGTTCGAAGATGACCTGGTGTCTGAACATTTCAGTTAGTTGGTCAGGACATTAACATCTGTAGTTACACAGATTCACATCACATGACCCTAAGTCAAATTACATTTTCAAAGACTTCTGGTTATTCTGCTATGCTGGAGGCACCAGTCGAGTGAGCAGTACCACAATAATGGACAAAAGCTGTGGACAGTTAAAAAATAATGTTGCTACATTTGTCTAAATGACCACTAATCTGAGTTGTCTCTTAAAGCCAACACTGTTTCTCCAGCTCACATGGATTGTCAGATAATATGTGCTGACAATAACTCTTCATAGATCACAGTTAAATGAATGTGGAGAAGAACAGTAAACAAACATAATCCAAGGGCAGCCAGAGAAATCATTGACAGAGTTCATGTTGTGGCTGAACAGTGTATTCCAACATGTCTAATTGCTCTTGTGAAATGAAAACAATGGTGGATTCACTATAAAAATGTATTTTTGTGTTTAAAAGAAGCCAGTGTGCTATGAATAACATTAATAGTGTCAAATCATTCATCTTATGTGTTTACTATTAACAGAAAAGTGAACCCTAAACAAGCTACTATTGCTTCACAAGGACGCTTGGTTGTAAGCACACTCCTTTCCTGCCAGGAGACATAACAAACACTGCACTATGATAATGTGAAATGGATATACATTATTTTTTACACAAACACACACCTCAGCCTGCTAATGTCACACAGCCCAACATAATGCGATCAAGTTCCTGATCCAGATTGATTTGAACCACAAAGTGTTCTCTCATCTCAAGCCAGAAAGAAAAAGAAAGATGGCTTCTGGTTGTAGATTCATCAGTGTATCACAGTAGAAGTGAGTCTGGCGTCCAGCTTCCCTGTCATTTGAATATTATTGAAATTAGCTTTTGAAGTGGCTAATTACTGGACAGACAGTATGCTCAGCTCTTTTGAGTCCACCTTCTGCGCCGGGTGTCTGATGGGGGGTCCCAGGGGGTGGCGGGGTTGTTGGTGAGAGGTTGGGGACGGTGACGGGGACGAGGGGGGGGGTGAGAGAACAGCCGGCATGCAATACGTGAGAGGCCCCATGTCTGCACTATCAGTGGCATCAGACGGGAAAGAGGAAGGGGGTGGGGGGTTGCTGTGTACGGCAGTTATGAGAACTGCAGTGTTGAAACAGAGTGACTGCAACACTGCACAGCCTAACATCCCACAATCACGCACCGTCAGTCACACACGCTGACACTCTCTTTTCCTCTTTTTCTCACAGTTACACACACAAAACAACTACCACAGGCTATAGTCACATGGGTTCAGAGCACTTCCTGCTGAACATTTAAAACAATTACATTTTCTCACATGTGTCAGTACAGATAACAAATACTTCACCAGACATAACCTTGATTGACTTTTTGTGAGTCTAGGATATTAATAACAAAAAACAATAGCACTCACACAAGCAGCGATTGAAACCTCACCGGGTGACAATTAAGGACTGTAAAGATCACATGCTTTGACAAATATTTACTCTATCGCTGTCTTCCCTTTAATTGTGTCACTCACATACACGTATTTGAACAAACTTTGCACACACTAATAACTGTGTCTTAAACTGTCAACACACGTGACAGGATCAGACCTTGCAGAACCTGGTTGACCAAGGACTAGTGTCTGGGAGCCCTTTAAACAAGAGCAGCCTTTACAGCTCTGTGTGAGAGTGAATCCTGTTCAACACTGACACAGCGAAAAACAACGACTGGAGGGAGGAGGTGAAGTGTGTAAAGATACTACTGATGGTAGTGAGGGGGTTAAATTCAGCTTGTGAATAGACAGCTGAACCTAAATCCTAGATACACAACACCCCCCATCCTCCCTCTGGTTCTCCTCCTTCTCCCCCCACCCCTTCCTACGCTGCTGTGCTGAGCAGTAACATGAAGCAGAGGCTCTGACAATATGAAGCCGGCTGAGAGCCTGAGGAGCAGCGACGCATACTTACGTGGTCCTTGACGTCCAGACGGAGTTGCCGGTCGTAGAGCAGAAAGCAGAAGAGGAGACAGAGAGGAGCATGAGACTTGCTTGCCGGCACAGCAGCCTACAGGCGGTACGGCCTCGTTGGCTTGTTCCTTTTTATTTCGTCCAGTCCGTGCAGCGCACAGACAGAGCTAGTGCCGAAAAACACATGCATGCATTCACACACGCACACACAGTCGGCCGCATACACACAACACACCTCCCCCCAACACAGCACACACGTTTCTCATTCTCCTGCCTCTTCTTATGTCCAATGCTTTCTGTTCTCTCCTTTTTCCTTTCTCATTATCTCTGTCTGCTCCTCCCTTCCTTTTTTCAATATCCTCTTTCTTTCTCTCAGCTACACATGCAGTCGGCTTCTCTTCGCAGCCCCCACCTTCCCCTCTCTCTCCCTCCCTCCCTACATTCCCCTCCCTCTCGCGCAGCCTCTCCCTCCATCTCCTCTGCTCTCTCTCTTCAGTGTGTGCAGAGCGAGAGGCCATTATCTGAGCCACAGCGGGCACGTACGATGGAATGGAGGAGTGTGCAGTGAGCAGAAACAGAGAGCGCTGTAAGGGATAGTAGCTAGTAGCAGCAGCCTAGGAAACAGCACAGTGCAGCAGAGCTCTTACCAACGAGAAAACCTCGCTCTATCTCCATCCACACCCTTCAACACTGCTTGCTCTGCTACATTAGATGACGTTACATATAAGGCTGTGTTGTGTTCTGCTGATCCACAAAAGCCAAGTATTTGCAATTTCAACTATACCAGAGCTTCCCTGCGAACCAGCGGCTGCCAACGATTAGACAATCGCAACTAACAACGGTATCAACAGGAAAAAGAGAAAGGAGCAAAGAAAAGCAGCATTACGTTGCTTATTTATTCCTTCTGCAAACGGCATCTGCTTTCCCTTACAGAGATTTTCTTCCACCTTTGAGCTTCCAGCCCTGGGCCAATGGAGAAGCCACCGATAATGGTTCCACAATATGCATTTTCTTCCTCTTCCACATTCACGTCGGTTGCCCATTCATCGCCTGAAACGAGAAGCTTCTATCTTACATCTGGGGCTGATAATAGATCGTCTAAAAAGGCTGCATGCACAAGAAAGTGGAAGGTTTTGTAGATGGAGAAGGAACTGGCTTGCTGGCACTCTAGCTGGTCTTTCCTCTAAGATTCAAAGGATGCAATCAAGGTGGAAGGATTTTGACTTAAGGACATGAAGGGTCACTTAATATATAAATTCATTCATCAAAACTCTATATTGTCATCTCTTTCATGTAAAGAAGGATGGAAATGGAACAGCGATGGAAGTATGATTACAACATAAGTAAAAGAACAAGACAACTACGTTATTCTACAGCGGATGACACTTCACCAAGCCAGAGTACCGGGATGAAGAGAAGGGAGTGGAGAAAGACACTAAGGAAATGGAACACAACAAGAGGGACGTCTGTAGAGATGACAGTTAAAAG